AAGAGTGGGTGAGGAGCTGACAGCAAGGATGTAAAAAGTGAGAAAAATGAGAGAGAGCTTTAGGAATCAATAGAGTATAGTGGATATGGGAAAACAGAGGGAGGAATCTGGGGTGACTCTTAGATTTTGGAATTTGGCCAGAGTTTAGGACATAGCTAAAATTCGTAATGAAACATTTACATACTTATTGGTATGGCTATGGAATCTTATAAATGGACAGCATTCATAAGTCCATTTATAGGTAAAAAGAGGGAAGATGTTAATTAGTCCAGTTTTTAAATTTTGTCAGAAGAATGCATTGGTAGAATAGAGAGATGAATATAACAGGTAAAATTTAGGCAAAAAGTTTATGTAAAAACTTTTTTATCATGTTTTCAGGGCAGCATTAGATTGTTGTTTTAAACAAAGAAGAAATGGAAATATTAACTGAGAAATTTTAATAACTGTTAGAGAAGTTTCATGAACTTGAAGAACAGCAGTTCACAAATCATATAATTCATTTTTCCTCCAGCGAGAGTCAGCACTTCTATCCCTGTACCAAAACCATCTCTATACTTGTAACACTTATTTTTGTCTTGTAATTTATTTCTTTAGGATTGTCTTCTCGATTATGAAGTCTAGGAGACTCAGTAAAGGTTTAATGGGTGAACTCCTTTATTTCATAGAGGCAGAAACTGGGGCATGGTTTTCTTTCATTTTTTTAATTTTTTAATGTTATGAGAATTCATAAACTCGAAGAGTTAACTTCTCACAAAACTAAACATACTAGTTACTTCCAGGATGGCAGCTATTTTTTTAAATTTTGGTTATGAACCGTCACTTATTTGTACTTACTGGAGCTCTGTGTAGAGAAGGGTGGTGGGCTTCCTCTGGATTCTGTAAGACCAACAGCCAAGATGCATGGTCACAGGAGGGAAGGATGGTGGCAGTTGCGGTGTAGTTGAAGCCATGGTCATTTTCTTTGTACGCCCTCCTTAAAACATTTCATTTTTCAGCAGAAAACAGCAGCAGCCTTGAAGCAGACAACTCCTTTATACCTTCACCTAAGCCAAGGACCATATTGAAAAAGCAGAGCCACAGGGAGGAGAAAGATGGACTAGAAGAAGAGAAAGAAACTGCCCTCCATGAAGAATTAGAGGCACATTGTATACCGTCGTCCCTCCCAAGGCTGAATGGCAGACCACTGGAAGCTGAGGAAAAAGCATTCTCTGAAAACCTTGATCCTGAGGTTAGCACTACTGCTGAGCTGCTAAACCGTGTTCTTGAATTCAGACCTTTGCATCTGATTAAGAGAGAGAGAGAGAGAAAATATTTGTGTACATGCACGTGTGTGTATGTTACATGTTTTTTTCAGCAGTTGATAAGAAAGTAATTTTAAATTCTTTTAATATACTATATTCCATTGAGTCTAAAACTCTATCCATTATAAGAGAGCATTATTTTGTGTACTGCCAAGAGAGAAGAAAACTCTACGAATTAAGCTATAACACATCAGTAATAATAACATGCATCTAATCTCAGAGAAAGTAAAATGTGGGGGAAAGTGTTGCCCTTTTGAATCTATGCAGTATTGTATATCTTTAATCGTAAGAATTTATATTTTTACGTACATATCTTTGAATTATGTAATTTATGGCTAGAGACATTATAGCTCGTGTCCTTGCATTCATTTGGTTTTACTTACTGAATGTTCATGGCACTATGTGACGTGCCAAAATGGAAGTAAATGTGATCTTTCACGATTTCGCCAGGGGTTTACTCTGTATCGTCGTTAGAGAGAAACACGTGGTGCCCTCTCTTTTCACTTCACTGTCATTAGCAAACTTCCACCTCACATTTCAGAGGGAATAAGCGTGAGAATAATGTTCCTCCTCCACAATGCGCTTCAGCAAATCAGGGGAAAAAAGCTAAATGGTACCTGGCTATCATGACATTCCATCTTTTATTTCTAACATATAATTTGTGTTTTCTGTCTTTCTTGTTAAATTTTAATAGGCATTGCTCAGTTTTATTCAACTTTTCAAAGAATCAATTTGGCTTTGCTAAATTTCTCTATTGTTTGTTTCCAATTTCACTGATTTTCACTCTTTATTATTTCTTTTCTTTGGGTTTAATTTGCTTCCCTTTAAGTTGAAAAATGTGTCCATTGATTTTAAGCTTTTCATCTTTTCTAAGAAAAGTATTGAAAGCTATAAATTTCCTTCCATGCACTGCTTTAGCAACACCCAATTTTTTGACGCCTTTTCTTTCATTGTCATTTTTTAAAATATATTTTCTAATTTCCCGTGTGATCTCTTTTCTGATCAATTGGTTATTTTGTGGTGAATAACTTTATTTCCAAATATCTGGATCCTCTCTAGATTTAATTAAATCTTTTGTATTAATTTGTAATTTATTTAGTTTTATTGTGATTAAAGAATATCTCGTATGATTTCACATTTTTAAAAAGTCACTGATATTTTTTTATGGCCCAGCCTAAGTGTATCTTATGGAAGTTCCAAAAAAAAAGTGTTCACACTTTTTACAAAAAAAAAAAGTGTTCTGCAGGTGTTAGATATAATGTCCTATAATTTTAGTTTGGTCAGGGTGGCCAGTAGTATCATTTAGGTCTTCTCCACTCATACCAATTTTTTTGTCTAGTCGATTTACCAAGTACCGTGTAAGAGTTGTTAAAATCTCAAGTTCTGTTTGTGAATTTGTATATACTTCCTTTACTTCTGCCAGTATTTTATGAGTTTGTTATTAGACACACGGTACACACCTATTGTTATATCTTGACCCTATTTAGCATTATGAAATGTTTCTACATCTGGTAATATTTCTTGTCTTGCATTTTATTTGTATGAGATTTCAGTTTTCTTGTAACTAGTAATTGCATGGTAAAGCTTTTTCTATCATTTTCCCTTCAAACTGTATTTTTCTTTAAGTGACTCTTTTAAAATAACAGGTTGATGTCATTTTTTTTTTATCAAGTCTGACAATCTGCTTTTTAATGACTCCATTAGACCTCTTATGAGTGTTTAGTCCATTTACTTTTAATATAAGTACATTTAGGGCCATTCCATTGCTATTTGTTTTCTATTTATTTTATGGGGTTTTAAAATTGATGTTGTTCCTTCGTAACTCTTTTCCTGCCTTTTGTTTTTTAGAATTAATCCTGTATTTAATTTTCCATTTTGATTCCTCATTGCCTTTTTGGCCATACCCGTTTGCATTACATTTTTAGTAGTTACTCTGTGGATTACAAGATGCATCTATAAATTATCACAATCTACTTAGAGTTGATAACTGTATTATTTCACATTTAATATAGAAACCTTGTAACAGTATAGTTCCATATACTCCCTCATCCATCATGCTACCATTGTCATGAATATGGACTACAGTCTCTGCTAAGTTCTTTGAGTTTCTGGCTGCTATGATTTTACAGGACCCTCTGAGGTCTTGTCCATGCCATGAATAGATGAGCCAAGGGTTTTGGATAAATTTTATATGCAGATTTGGGGGTTCATGCCCTCTATAGCTCTTCTCCAAACTTAACTGGATGATCTTCCAGTATTAAACTCTATCCTTTGACCCCTTGAGCCAGCCCAGTAAATCTTCAGCCTTCTACTTGAACAGCATAAAGGGAAGAATGCCCTCAGGCAAAAAGCTGCTAGCTTGCAAATCTCAGGTAAAGCTTTGCCTCTCAAGGTAAACAGCAGTGTTTCGCCCTTTTGCCATCTTCCCAGGTGGTTTCTATCTGTTGCTTTCCATGTGTAATATTTTTTGTGCCCATAAAATACTGTGGCAAAGAAAATTAAAATGTATTATGTTTGCAATAGAATCAAACTACTTACATTATAATATCCTCATTACTGTTCGATAAAGAGATGCTTAGGCACACGAATATAATTATTTCATTTTAGATGTAATTTTTAGAATTTAAAGGAAAAGTGAAATGCATGAAATCTATGTATTTTTCTAATCTAAAATATTTGGAAGTAGCTGTCTAGTTGTTTTCATTTGAATGACTAGTAATATTTGTTTGAAACTAAGGGTTTTTACCTACTGTCTTTGTACTTTCTTAGAAAAGAGAATTAGAGAAAGAGATAACATATCTTTGCCTTAAATATTTATGATTTTAAAGCAGCAGGAGTTTTGAAAATTGCTAAAAACAAATGTAAAGCTGTCGGTTAAAGAACTAGAAGAGCTCCATAGTGACTGACCCCTTGTAATGATCATGACATCAAGGCTTGAAAGTAAAGCATATCAGCCTCCATTGGTTTAACCATCTCTTAGTATTTGAGCAGCAAACTCTTAATAATGCAAAGCAGATTTCACGTTACAAAATAGTCTTAGTAACACTATTGTCTTTCACAGCTCTTGAAAACTGAACTTAAATAGTAAATTTTTTTTTTTTTAAACAGGATTCATTGTTAACAAGCCTATCATTGTCATCCCTTAAAGAAAGTATTGAAGATTCCTTTTCACGAGAATCTGGGGGGAAAACATCGATAAAAGGTGGTTATATCAAATTATTGTATCTTATTTTATTTGTGAATCCTGTGTTGCTTAGAATTTTACAAAACCTATTTGAAAATGAAATGATGCTGTATATAGATACAGGAACAATGTTTGTGTTTGCCTGAGTTTTAATCTCGGCTATGCCATTTACTAACCGTGTGATTTGAGATGCAGAACTTAAACTCTCAGTGCCTCAACTTTCCCAAGTTATAGTGAGAGCAATCTCATAAGGCTATGTGAAAATTAAGGGATGCTATGCATTTTAACCCCTTGCCCAGTTCTTGACACAAGTAGAATGATCACTAAATGCAAACTCTTATGATGTGTGTGTTCTTGCAATAGTCTGCAGTACAACATAATGGTTAGGTGGACTTTTCCAGTGAGAGACTAACTGAATTGAAATCTAGACACAACTGCATGAGCAGAGTAACCTCTCTTACCCTGTATATAGATCTTTGAAATGAGGAAAATAAGAGTAACCTACCTCATCGGGTGTTTGTGAGAATTAAATTAGTTAATAATATGTATAAATTACTTAGAACAGTACCACAGTAAGCACGTAGTAAATGAGACTAAATCGTTAACGTTATTTCCTTCCTTAGTTCTATGACATGTAGCTTAATGAGAGCTAAAGGCATCACTGTTTCTAGGACTGAGATATGTAATTAACATTTATTAAGTGCCTACTATGTAGTATAATTTTTGTCATTTTACAGATGAGGAAAATTGAAGTACAAAGATATTGGGAAACATACCAAGGTCAGTGATGGAGCCATAATTTGAATCTTTGGCTCCAAAGTCCATATTCTTTTCACTGAATACATTGATTAACAGCTCTAAAGAATCCATTAATGATATTTTGAGTCATAATTGCTCTCCAGATGTGAATGTATAAATGTAATTATAAAGTGATTTCAAATCTAGCATACGTCAAAATAAGTCCAGAGAAAATGGCTGTAATGAAAGCAGTAAAGTTAAGACCTTGACAAGGAAGATAAAGGTTTGGCCAGTAGGTGGATCCTAGTAGAACTGAAAGTTAGTGATCAACACAGAAAGCACAGATTTCTTTCAGCTGAGCGTTCCAAAATGTGGTAGATGAGAATAACAGAAGCAATTCCATAAAAGCAAAACTGAAATCTCTCATGCCAAAGCTTGTACTTGTCACTTGAAGCACTGAGAGGATAAGTAATAGGCCTGCCTTCAGTGCTCCTTTGGTATCAGCGGCAACACTGCATCTTAGTGGGAAAAAAACTGTTTAGAAGATGGCTTTATTCTCTGTGCGATAGACTCTTCTAAAATTACACCAATTCTTGGTTCTCTCTGCATCTAAACATATTTGTAATTGCACTGCTAGTAACTGTAGTAACGCAAAGATGTGTGCTTCCTACTTACATAGCTTCTTATTCCACTTAAGAAACACAGGTGTCTACAGCCATGCCACCCTGAACAAGCCCGATCCCGTCTGATCTCGGAAGCTAAGCAGGGTTCGGCCTGGTTAGTAGTTGGATGGGAGACCACCTAGGAAGACCAAGGTGCTGTAGGCATAAAAAATAAAAAATAAGGGATTGTAAGCTGACAAGGTCTTTGTAAACTGACAAGGATTGCTTCACCTAAAAAAAAGAAAAAAGAAACAGGCATTTGGAGAGAACAGTTATTGCCACTTCACTTACTTGATTTATCCATCAACAAGTGCTTTTGGTATGTCTTTGGTTTAAGGTAGTTATTCCATTCTATTTACCAATATGATGTATTTTCCAAGTGTTAGGTATGCTTTAGTAGTATGGTAGCCTTTTTCTCTTTTGTAGATCATTTTGGAAAAAAAGTTCATTCAAGTTAAATATGATAGTTTTCTTCACATTTTATTTTTCAAGAAAAAGGGATTATAGACAGTCCTTGTGTAGTGGAAAGCATAGGAATCTGTTACTCTTTTATTAATTTAGAAGGGAGTTTTAGTTCTGTTATTCTGTCTCAAAATAGATCAGAATGAAGAAGTCACTGAAAACCATAATTCCTTGAAATCAAATGAAAACGAAGAGAATTCATTTCTGATAAACTTTGTTACCACTGCACTTGAGAAATCGAAAGAAAGTCAAGTGGCTACTGAAAACATTGAAGAAGAAAAGGAGAAAGCTGAACTAATTATGAGTGATGATCCACCACTATTGAAATCTCAGAATATCTTAATATCTGCCAGTGCAACTGAGTCTGCAAAGGTATTTATATAAAATTGTACCTTTTATACTACAGCTTAAAACTAGAAACACAACTTTTAAATATTTTGTCTTCCACATTATATACCTTCTGAATTACCTGTGGAAAACCCATCTTTTCATAGTGATATTATATTGTCATGTGGTTCTCATATAATTAAATAGAATTTTAACTTCAAGGAAGGTTTGCAGTGAATATAGCAAAACTCCATGTTTTATTAAAAATGATTAAAAGTATATGATCTAGTATACTTTTAAATAGCTCAGAAATGAATACCCATAAGTTGATAGGTTTCTATAGGTCTTTAAGTTTTAAAAATGCAGCCATCTAGAACAATTTCTGAAGTTTTTACTGAAAATCTTCAAGTAATGTTTGTTAAAATCTCTGCTTGTTAAAAAGATGGACTAGATCATTATCAGAAACATTATTATTATTACCTTGAGAACCAGATTTGTAGCATGTAGAATTATTTGTCCCTACACTATATTGCACCAGAGTACTATACTTTTAAAATTTATGGCATGGCATTTTTAGTCTTTATTTCTCCTGTATTTAGTCTTTATCTCTTATAGTTGCAGTTAGCTGATGGCTATGTGTATTTATTACCAAGGAAGATAACAGTGCTAGTTGAAAACTTGTGGTTAAACAGAATTCTTCTAATACAGAATATCAGCTTTTTATTAAAATTTATAGAGATGGTTTATTAAGCCATGTTCTAGATATATTGTCCATCACCACTTTCCTTAGGAAAAACCATTGATGCCAAGTTAGGGATGTGTTTACATCTGTGCTCTCACTTTAATGCTGGCACCCATCTGTCTGTACAAAGTAGAAAAGTTATTTCTTAAAAGGAAGAAGGATACTCTGGAATTTTGTAGACAGTCTTAGAAATGTCTAAAAGAGGTAATTCTAAAAGAGAACAGGTGATTTTCAAATAGCAAGTAAGATCATAACATATTTCTTTTGACTGACTCCTTCCTTGGCTTTATTCTTACTCTCTACTGTGTGATCTTTTTTGTCTTAATCAAATCACTCCCTTGCAAGGTCTCTTTGTTGGATTCTCATCATGAGAATAAATGCAAACTCCCTACCACTTCCTGAAGATCTCACTTGTTTCTTCTCTGACCACAGATTCCTCCCCACTCTCCCCGCTGTTCACTGTGCTTCAGCATCATTCCCCTCTCTGTTTCTC